AAGCACTTCTACGAACGCTTGGCTTACCAAATTTACGCCAATTGATAAAATTTTGCGATTTAAATTCATTTTAAATAATGTAAATAACTATTCGTGTTGAATTGAAAATCGCCTCGTCTGAATAGGGATAGCAACTTTTTCACTTTCAACTTCTCATTCAACTCCGCATTCAACTTTTGTTGCCTGTAAAATCGCCACGTGCGAATGCCCTATTAGTTGTAACGCGTACTCGATTTTCTTCTATCGATTTATGTTCTTCAAACACATACCTATTACCGGTATACATACATTTTATCCACGCCATTTTATCTAGAACAACCTGAAAATTTTCGCATTTGCTGTAATCCAAAAGCTTGGTAAAAAATAAGTTTCAGGTTCAACCTTATAAAGCTCTATAATGTCCGATTATCGATCGCAATCCCGTGATGGTCACCGAGATGGTGGACGTGGAGGTGGCGGCAGAGATTATTCCAGTGATGACGATCCACCAATGTCGCGACTTTTTATAATTTGTAATAAAGCTCATACAGAAGATGATTTTCGTGAAGCATTCTCGTCCTATGGCGAAATCGAAGATATTTGGGTAGTGAAGGACAAAAACTCGGGCGAAAACAAAGGTATTGCCTATGTAAAATTTGCGAAGACTTCGGATGCGGCTAAAGCACAAGAAGAGATGAATGGCAAAACAATCGGCAAAATGGACCGAACCTTGAAAGTGTTGGTTGCTGCAAAGTAAGTCATATGATTGGTAATTTTGAAGTTAAGCTTTTTAAATCTGTTTTATTTAGCCGAAACCAGGGATCTAATAAAAGTGAAAATGAACAGGAAAAATATGTTCGCCTATTTATTGTTATATCCAAATCTGCAACGGAAGAGGAAATAAGGAATGAATTTTCACAATGGGGAGATGTGGAAAATGTAACGATTGTCAAAGATAAATCAAGCGGATCACCTAAAGGATTTGGATATGTTCGATTTACAAAGTTAGTAATAGACCAGAAATTACTGGTTGCGTTCCAGCAGAAGTACGATTTTTTAGGATTTTACAGGAAGCTGTTCTTGTACGACACCTGACATAAGGTTTATTAACGGCGAAAACAGCTTTTCCTGCAAAACCTGCAAATCGCACTGCTGCTGGAACGTAACTACTATTTGTAATATTGCTTGTATTTAATGCCTTTTTTTTGATGAAAGATTACTAAGTTGTTTACATAATATGTAATACTATTATGTTATACTTAGGTTCTATCATGCTGCTGTAGCTTTTGAAAATTGCCCTCCCAAATACAAAGCTGTGTTTGCTGAACCTAAAGGATCGTCACGATCTCAACGAGATCAGTATGGAAGATCAGGTGATGATAACCCCCTAATAGGTTCCGGTCGCAGTGGTGGTGGAGGAGGAGGAGGAGGCAGTGGCAGCGGTACTTATAATAATGGAAATTTTAATAACGATTGGAACTGTTCTTTTAACAACGATATGTCAGCATTTTTACGAATGCAAAATGTACCTGTTCCGCAACCAACATGTTTAGAAGTGATTGCTAGCAATTGTGTTAACCAGGATCAGTTGTGGCGCTTATTTGACATCATACCAGGCTTGGATTACTGTCAAATAACTCGAGAATGTCCGTTCGAAAATTCCTATTTGGTTTAGCGTTATAAAAAAACATTTTATTCTTTGCAGATGGGCCAAGAACCAACGAGGCAATTGTTGTTTACGATAATCCAGAAGCCGCTATTTACGCAAAGTACAAACAAAACCTACTTTGGGTATTTCAATAAATGTTTAATACATTTTTGGTTATATTTTTAGAGATAAATTGCATGGGCTGGAATACCCAATAGGGGAACGACTCATTGTTAAAGTGGCGGGCATGAGTTCAGCACGAATGGATACATCGTTTATTGATAGTATGTTATATATGGTTTTAATTTTAAAATCTATTTACAAATATGTAATCCCTTATTGTAGAGCGAACTAAAAAAGATTCAATATGCAGTGTTGCATTACCACCTGCTCAGCCAATGGTATCGTCCGAAACGCCAGTTGCGCAACGATTGTTTATTGTATTAGCTGCTGTAAGTACATACATATATTTAATTTTTATTTGTGTCTACAGCAAATGATTTTTTGTACAGACATTTAAAGGCTAGTTTTATGGCATTACGCTTAACGCATGACAACTGTTTCCCGCTCATGACGATTTTTTATTTGTTTACATAAATGTGTTGTATTGGAGCAAAGATGCCACTCTGCAGTAAAATTTAGAGACAGTATGGCAAAGCGCTAGTTCCGAACTACATATTTCAGAACTATCTGAACTAGTGCAAAACTACTGCAGAGCGGGACAGTTGAAACTTGCGGTGTAAGTGTACAAATTCTCACTTCTCGTACAATTCAATTCGAATTCAAATCGCGGTGGAGGCAGTTGTGAGTTTTCAGATTTAATGAATTTAAATTGTTCCGTGTGTATGTAACAAGCGTGGAATCTGTAAAAGAAAAGAAGACTGAAGAGATATCCAAAAAGCGAATCTTAAAAACGTTTCCTTATAAAAAAAACTGTCCGACACGGAACCGGTTAACAACTAGTTAACCGTGTAAATCGTGTAAAACTGAACAGTTGAAAGCATTGCTTGGGTATTGAGCTAGATCTACTACTGACGGAAAAGGTCTGGTTCTGAGCTAGTCACATTTTCTGCAGGGGCAATTACTTAGATTCATCCCTATACATACATAATACAAAGTTCGATACTGGTAGCCATGGCTTCTAGACCAGCAACTGAACACCAATCGCCATACATGATAGGGCCTTTATTTTGCTAAAATTCAAAATAGTTCTTCAGTTATGTTTAAATAAAGATTTTGAACCTGACAGGTATTAGTCTAAGAAATTTAAGAAATAGATATACTCTGAGAAAGCTCTACTTTTTGTAGCATTAGCGCTATAAACTGTTTTATAATTAAGTCCATTACATAGGAAATTTACTGTTTTAATTACAGAACCTACCACAGTCTATATTGAAAAATGTATTTTCATGCTGGAAGGGACTAATTGATGTGTACTTGTTGCCGAATAAAAATTGCGGCTATGTAAAGTACGCAGATAGAGAAAGCGCACAAAAAGCCATTCAACAATTGAATGGTGCGGAAATTTGTGGAACAAAAATAAAGGTATATTATTGAGATAATTTTTTGAAATTTTTTTTATAAAATTATATGTTGTGTTATACTCAGGTAATGGAAGCAGAAGAGAGAGGTAATGGAGATGGTGATGACAATGGAAGGAAGCGTCTTCGAAGGAATTAAAGGAAAGGTAAAAATATAACTTTTATTTCTTTCTTTACAATCCGCAACTGACAATATCCATGTGAAATATTTTTAAACGGTAAGTGCATTTTGTTTGTTTTTTAATCTAAATGTTAAAAAAAAAGACTGCTCACTAATGTTTTATTCAAATGACCGTCTTCAGTTTCTATTTACTAAACATTTTTGTAAAGTATATGATTCCAGCACTAATCGTTACAGGTTAATGAGCGTGTTTTGTTTTTCTTTTTCACAGACATAAACATAAAGCAAACCAAATTAAAACCATAACAATAACGTTCCATTACTTAATTGTACAAGAAATATAATGAAACTAACTGACCGCAGAAAACAATACGGATACATAACGCAAACGGAGTTGAAACGGAAACTGCTAGATACAGTAAGAACGAAGAATATATAAAAAAGGTGTTTCAGCAATGAACAATCACCACCAACCCAACCGACTCAGACCTTCACAATCACTCTGTCACATCATTAGTCACCACAATATGAATAAAGCCACAGAATGTCACTTGTAGACAATGACCAATTTGAGACCAAGTACCCCAATACACAAACGGAGCCAAACGCTAACGGAGCGCAACGGACACTGCAAAGAGCTAAAACTACAGTACAGAAAAAGAATTGATATTACAGAGTATTTATTTGCGCAGAGCTTTTACAAGAAAAATTAAACGTAACCTGAACGTAAAACGAGAACGCGAAACTGAACTAAAACCCATAAGGACGAAGATATATACGCTACGAATCACGATGCAAGAACCGAATTAACTTTTACCACAGCAAACTTTAATACTCCTTTTTCAAGAAAATACATACAAATACTTTTAACACTTCAACATCTATCCTTGTACATGCCTATGAAGACGTTTATTCATAACTTAGTCGTTTATAGTTCAGTTTGGATTAGAAAAATGTTTGTATTTTTCTCAATGCAATCAAACTGTGGTGTGTGTGTGTGGGAAATATTCAACAATTGAGCTAACATGTTTGGCATGTTATAATTATATGCGTATGAATTATTTTAAATGCCGATTATGAATATATTAAATAAAAAATATTATAAATATAATATTTCACAAATAAAAAATTGGGCTTTTTCTTTCAACTACAAGTGGTAAGTTAATTGAACGAGAATTTCCCTCTAAAACTGGCTTTTACTTGTTGGTTAATTTTTCCGACAGGGTCGGAATTAACTAATTCGAGACTCATAATAAAGCTGCAATACTGCTACACTGATGAAAATTTACAAACACTATTGCAAACTAACTAATACATCTTTGCTAGAGCATATTTCCGCCATGCCTTGTCAAGTTTGGTGTCATTCGAAATATGTAAGGAAGTTAAGGGCCACTGGCGTTTCACACGTCAAACACTGACGTCATCGTAGTTTTCACCAGGGATGAAAAATTACATCAACATGGGATCCACACTAAACTATGTACTAAGTTACATTTCGTTGCCGTAATATTCAAAACTCCGTTTTGTACAAATGTCGGTAGATTACTCTCTAAAAACCGAATGGAACTTAAAGCCAACTACTACAAAATTTAACAAATTATTGCGTCGATTACGGATGGCAAGCGTCTCCACATGGTCGATGTAACGGAGCTTACTAGCAGGTAGGTTTTAGTTTCCAATTAAAAAAAAAAAACTCCAAAAAGACAATTCATTCCGGTTTTCCATTCCAATTACTCTGTATGTAATTTATTCATATTTTCGTACGCCCATCTTACAAGGTTCTATATATAATAATCATATCCTATTTGAAAGAAAATTATAATCGTTTTAAATTATTTATTCATTTGTTCATATTAATTTATGTAGTTGCAAATTTAATAATAATAGTCTTCTTCTTTCATAGTTTTGTATTGAGTGCAATGCCGTCCATCATAGAGCATTCTTCGCTTGTACCTCTGACAAACGGTTTTCCATAATAAACTATTATCGTTATTTTGACTACATTCAAAGGGGTTCATAATATATACTAATTTCAACATTTTGTTATTGAATTTGAATTAAAAAAGTTTTTGTGAAAAAGTAACCATGTAAATTGGAAGTAGAGTAAATTTAATCAATCAATCATTGTGTGTGTCAATCCAATGGGATTTTTTTTAGCATATAAAAAGGATAAAATGGTTTATTTTACGAGATATATTTTAGCGGATAACAGCTTCATAAACTAGTTCGTTTTTATGCGTTGAGTTAATTATGTTCATCAAAAGAAGTCTTTTGTGTATTGATGTTAAAAAAAACACAAACGATTCGTTTAGTGAGTTTAAATAACTGCTGGAAATATTTATGTGCAAAATTAACAATATATCATACAATGTTGCACTTAAAAAAGCACACAATTGTATAATGTATTCTTATTACAGTTTCTGATGACGAATGACTTGAATTTTTCTACTTTTTTGCTTCTTTGACTGTTTGTTAATTGCTTGCTGACTTTGTTGGTTGTTTCAAATTGCTGGCCTTCGTTGATTAATTTAAAAGCCGTGTACTTTTAACTGATCAGGTTTCGCAAGACCAGCCTTTGTCAACCATTGGCAGATGTTCTCACGTTGGTCGCCCTGGAGCTGTAGTACCTCTCCGTATTCGGGATGTTCAATTACTGTGCCATTACATGCGAATTCCTGCACAAATTTACAGTTAGTTAGTTAGGTATTATTTATAATATACAAATATAAAAATATATCACCTTTTTACATGATCGCACAATTTTCTTTAAATCATATTCCGACGATAATCCTTGCACTGTCGTTAGTGTCTTTCGACCATTTCTCTGCTGAATTCTTATGTGCACAAGACCGTCTTGAACATCATCATCAGCACCCTTGATTGCATCAGCAAAGGGGTCTATAATTGTAAGAAAACCATGTATATATTAATGTTTTTTTTGTAATAAACAATTTAATGCATTGAAATCTGCCTTATTCTGAGTTTCGCCCGAAAAAAAAATTTACCCGAAAATTTGTATTCCGCCCCATAGTAAATACATGGAAACCAAAAATGAAAAGTGAACCGGTTCCGGGAAAATTAAACTCATAAGGCTGAACCAGCCTTATTTATTTTATTTTTTGTTTTAACATTTTTCAACCGAATTCTGAAATAGAGCGTTTTTGAAAAGATTTCTGAGATAGGCCGTTTTCGAACTGGCAGCCGAGATACATAGGTCGATCTTCCACTCAGGTGTCGATATCATCTTTATCCGAAAAAACTTTTCTTTATTTTTTTGGAAATATGTAAACGAATACATATCGCACATTTGCTACAAGAATGTCATAATCCAAAAAATCAAAACAAAACAAAAACCGGGAAAAACAGGTTCAAAGTTTTGAATTTAAATATTGAGGGCTTATATTCAATACCCTCTATTACAATGCAATTTTTACAAAAACTACTTTGTGATGTTAAAACCCATCTAGGACTTACATGTCATCACTGATGTTTATTTATTAATCTAGAAAATGAAAATTTCGTACAGACTTAACAAAAAATAAAATATAAGTTAATAACTAATTTAGCACACTATTTAACAGTATGTACTAGTTTGAAATTAAATTTCGAAGAAGAGTAATCGATAGCAGAAGAGTTTGAGAGCGATTTGAAGTCGTTTAGAGCTCTGCAAAGCATTATTATAATTATTCCTGACGAAGTCCAGAGAAAAAATATGGAGATTTCTAAGGCTTCTTGGTGTGATATTAAATGTAATCCGTTCCGAGTAAGAATGGCGAGTCAATCACACCCCGAATAATGTCAAAAACGAAAGTAATTAATTATGACTGCAATTTGATAGTAAATTCTTCTGTCAAGCGTTATACAAGGTCAGCATTAATACCATCGATGAGAGTTAAGTCGTAAATGGATTTTTATATCAGAATCTAATTTTTGTGAAAAGTGCAGATAGAGGGTATTGAATTAAGCCCTCAATATACCCCCATAGTAAAAATTAATACATATTTTTTTCTAGTGGAGCTGCTGATAATCGGTACAACTATGTAATTTTTGTGGTAATTTTGCATACTTATTCTTTTAATGAAAAATTGCCAGAAATGGATTTTTGTTAATTTACGAAAAATAAAATATTAAGTTTGCAAAAAACTTGCTAAGTATATCTAAACTTTTTTGACCGACTGTATGTATGTATAAAAATTTGCTTTGTATTCTTCCGAGTTCTAATTTTTTACTTTTGAATAATCTTAAAACAAATATGCAATATTAAGAGGTGGAACATATTCCCTAAATCGTGGCATTTACAACAGCACGATGAGAACTACGTCTGCGTTGTCATTGCTAATAGAAAATTTTTGTCGCCCAAAGAGAAAAATCGAAAGACGTCGATGCTGACTCATCGCACATGATTTCAAGTAACATCACAGTAAATCCATATATGTTAAACTTCAAAATCAAACAATGATGCTTAAATATTATACAAAACGTTTATATTTTTCTTAATAATTCACTAGGAATACGCGATTCTAACATTTTTCCACATTGTTTTATATTGGGGAGCCATGCCCGTGCACTGCGGCAGCCATTTTTTCCCCCCGATTGATTGCGAGACGAGAAAAACCTCCACATTTCGCTTCTTTTGGCGTTTCAAAATTTTTCCACCATCACGTGTTTTAACTTACCAAATGTATTTAAATTCTGGATGGACATACGATAATAAGAAGCAACCACAGCTGAAAATAAAAACCGTTTGCAATGATCTTTTTATTGCGTTGAATTACTGAAAATTTTCACTTGAATTTCTTGTAAACGTATGACGTTTCGAAACGCTCCAGATTAATAAACGTAAATGAATCAGTGGCAAAGAAACGTGTGCTATTTCAGAGATTCTTCGAAACACGGAACGAAATGAGATGCAAATGTCAAAATTAATCTTTTACATTTTAGTTGGATCTATTACTAAAGACAAAGCATCGTTGCCAACTCACATTCAATCGAGAACACTGCCATTAGGCCCCGTCTCAGCAGGCCTGCACACGATTGAGAAAAACAGAGATTGCGCCCATCGCAATACCGCTAATCTGCTCTTTGTGAATTTGGAAGAAATAGGACAAAGCGTAGTGGGGAAGCAAATTTTAAAATTTTTGAAAAATCGAAGCAAATTTACTACGATCGTAGCAAAGTGCCAACGCTGATCAGGAGGCATCCAGTCGCGGTCCGGAGTGCCGTGTTCTGGCATGTCTGTAGCTTCGTCCACTGCTTCATGCTAGTCACCGGCGACCACACGGGCGCTGCATAGTTTAGAACTGGTCGGCTACCTGCCTTGTATGTTGCCAACAAAGTTTCCTTGCCTTTGCCCCAAGTGCCAGCGACTTGAGGACCTTGTTGCGGCTCTGTACTCGATTGACGATTGGGGTTGTTTGTGCCGAGAAGGAGAGCAGACTGTCGAAGGTACTTCCTACGATTTTCGGGTTATTCACCGTCGGAGGTGGTTCGCCGTCGACGTGAATACCCAGCTGCAGTCTGACCTTCGTTCAGGTGGTAAAAAGGTTGCCGAGGATTTCGTAGGGGAGAGGGTTAAGCTACTTGCAGTGAAGACCTTTGGGATTGGAGGCTTTGGCCTTCCCGTTGACTACCTGAATCTTACCACTAGGTGTTGGAAGTTTATGCAGCCTTCTGATCAGTCATCGTTTGGCTTTGTTCGCCAGAGGATGCAGTGTGAATTTTCGTTGCGGTCTCCGAAAGAGATTTCGGCTCTGTCGTCACGCTTCGACGGGATGGACACCGACCTCACGGTTGACCAAAGATTGCTCACACCAGAGGTGAAGTTGCAAGTCTTCAATTGCTTATGTTCGTTCACCAGTTGCCTAATCTCCGAATTGAGATCTCTGATGCGGGTTTTTCGGGATCGGCCTGAAAGGTTTCACGCTAATCCGCTAGAACAGCCGCTTCAGCTGGAAAATTCGGACAGGGGTCCGAAATACATTCGGCTAGAATGAAGGGAGCTGTAGCGGCAGTGACAACCCCGCGGAATTTATGCTCACTTAGGTGAATGGCGGTTGGTTTTCAGTGACTTCCACGAAGCCGTTTCAATCAGCTTTAGAAAAGTTGATCTAGGTTCCGCGGTGTTCCGCGGAAGCAAGGCGGTAAGTTTATCAATCGAGATGACTATGATCTGACGCAAAGGTCAATAAAGGTTGCCACGTTATGCTGTTTATCAGACCAGCGCTTGCAGTTGTTATATCAGGCGAGCTAAAGCAGCTGCCGATAATCCTGGTGGGTGTGTCTCGTTCATTGTGCATAATGCCGAATTGTCTATCTGCTGAGCCAAGTATGTTTCCCAACGATCATTCGAAAGGCTTGAATGCCAAAGATCGTGATGCGCGTTAAAATCACTGACTACCATACGGTTTTCTCCTTTGAGGAGCGCAGCTATTTCATATCCTGCCGGACAGCTGGTGACAGGGGCTATATAAACGTTAAATATTTCGAGCTGAACATCGATGTCTGCTTCTATAAGACGATACTGCGCGGTGTGGTGCGTGCGTGCACAGTAGGAGCCTACGTAATCACTCGTCTAATCTCGCGTGTTGCGCAGTCCGGAATCATTTTACGGCATAGTGGCACCAGCCAAGACAGGAATTGTACTTGACTGATGTCACGTTACGGTATATTTCGGACGCACCGAGCAGATTGTTAGAGGAACTAGGAGTTGCGTCGTGGTGAGGGTGCGGTTATGTTCGTGTGTGTGTGTCTATTATTGTGTTGTTGTTGTTGTTGTAGCTGCTACCAAGCCCTGCTCGGGTCGGTTCATCCATCAATGTTGTCGTCTGTTACAGGTAAGGTGAGGCCCAGGAAGTGCGCAACTTCAACAGGATCTGTCCATAGGGTTACGGGCGTTAGCTGGGTGGGGTTCTGGAACATGCGAAGAGGTGCCGTGAGACGTGTGGCGACTCTCCGCATGCCGGGCATTGGTTGGGCACATCGTCGTTTATTCTGCTGCGGTATGAGTTTAGCCTGCTGTCATAGCCAGAGCGGAGTTGGGCTATTGTGGTGCTGGTCTCCCGAGGCAGACAAAGTTCTGTCCCGGCCATGTCGTCTGGTTGTGTACCCAGAGCAGCATTCACAGATCGAGAGTCTACATAACTCGAGAGCGACTCGTTGTGAATACCGTTAAATGCATGTCGGTATGCAGTTGGGTCCAGAGGTTATTTTATGAACCTCTGCACTTCGTCCGTCATTTCGTAGAGGTGCCTCCTGACGTGCCTTGGCGAGGGTTCTTCTGCAAGCAGCTCTCTATTTGGATGACCACGTCTGTGGCTCCCCACTAGAAACTGCTTGCAAAGCATGGTGTTACGCTCCTTGATGGGGAGCATCTGGGCCTCGTCATGTAGATGGTGTTGGTGCGACATCAGAAGGCAACCGATCGCTGTCCGAAGTGCCGTGTTATGGCAGGTCTGCGGCTTCATCCACTGCGTCCTGCTAGTCCCCGGCGACCACACGGGCGCTGCATAGTTTAGAACCGGCTGGCCAATTGCCAACAACGTTTCTTTGTCTTTGCCCCAAGCGCTGCCGGCCAGCGACTTGAGGACTTTGTTGCGACTCTTACTCTTTTGACAATTGCGGTTGTATGCGCCGAGAAGGAGAGCAGACTGTCGAAGGTTATTCTGAGGATCTTCGGGTTTTTCACCGAAGCGAGAAATCTCGGCGAGATAACCATTTACTTTCGAGCACAAGTCATCAATTCCATTCCTAGACGCCATTTTCGAGCAGTCGTCAGCATAAGAGACAATAGTGACTCCCTCAGGTGGTTGAGGGGGCTTTGAAATGTAATAATTAAACGATAGCGGGGATAGGACACCACCCTGTGGTACCACCTGTGTGGGTGCTGATTTGCTCGGGCGAACACCGGTGTGCCGTGGAGGTGGTCCGGTTTACGCAGCATGGGGCCACGTAGGATGTGGCCCACTGCCGGTGAGTTCTTAAGCCCGAACAAGTGCGTAGGTGGCTCCACCCGTTGCAGGTATTGCACCTGACCGAAGTTTAGTTAGGGTGCAACCGTCTCTGGCATAAGCAGAAGGTGTATGTTTCTGGCCCTGGGTTAACGTTTGAGGGATTTCGCCGACCTAAACGGGGTTAGATCGCCGAAACAACAGCCCTTGGTCCAAGTCCCGAAATCCCGGGATAACAGCTCCATAATCCCCTGATTTTAAGGCTGGTTTTCACTATGTCAAATTCAGTGATATTTGTCGTCAAATAAGTGAAAGCACATTGTCAAAAGGCATCAGAAAACAGTTTATCGATTGATTTGGATCAGGATAGGCCTTTAGTTGTGTACATGAGCTACGAAATCGGCTGTATGTCAGTTTTCGGCCCATAATATCATCGGTAAAGGTCTCGATAAAGGAGATAAAATTGTGTCAAAATATGTCGCCAAATTTTGGCGTCAAAATATGACATAGTGAAAACCAGTCTTTACTGATTTATTTGCAGAGAGAAAAGGGATGCTGTAAATGAAAAAATTAATTCAAAGTTATTTGAACTCGGAAGTGAATCTGCCTGAATAACGGTATTTGTTCAAGTATTTTATGCAAGAACTGAGCAAAAACGAAAGAGCTGGTACTACTGAAAATTGCAAACATTGTGATAAAGTCGAAATTCCGAAAATTTTCGGGATATGAATTTTTCACATCCCGAAAATTTTCGGGCTATGAATTTTTCGCATCCCGAAAATTTTCGGGATATGAATTTTTCGCATCCCGAAATCAGAATTAAAATGAATCCATGTAAATATTTGGACCTCCATAACCAATTTGAGAATGAAGCTATTAGAGTAGCGGATCTCTACTTAATCGGAAATTACGGATAATTTGAATATATCTTAATATCAATTTAAGCAAGAGCTAGTTTGATAAATAGTTAAGATAAGAAGTGAAATAATCTAAGAAAAATGTATGGTTCGTTTATTTACAGAAGAAACTATGCGGTTGTCATAATTAACCTAGTTGAATCATTGCTTATGTAGTTTAAAGTTATAAATGGCTAACAAACTCTTAGAAAATAACTATAAATACTGGCTTTAAGATAATATAACTTCCTCCTTGATGTGTCCCTGCTCGAGTTTCTGCGAAAGCTCTGCTTCTGCTACACGTTTTTGCAAATGACGCCAAAGAGTACTTTTCGGTATATCAAATAAATTTGCGGCATGATTCTGTGACATTCCCTCGTGTACACAGGCATGCAAGGCTTTAGTTAATTTGTCTTTTAACTCAATCTTCGAGTTTACGTCACGTTTTTTAAAGGAAACGTAGTCCGGTAGACGTCCCTGCTGTGCCAAACGGACCTTATGTCGATGTAGTGTTGACATTGGTATATCTAATTCCCGACTGATATTTTTTAGTGAATCGCCTCCTTTTAGACGTTCGTAGGCCATAGTAAGCACTGGATTTTCTCTAGCCGTTTTCATATAATTTGGATGCTTGCGTACTCTTCGCCAAAGGACAGTTTTTGAAAGATCATATTTTTGAGCAGCTTTTTGCAAACTCATACCTTCATTTATTACTGCCTGAACGGCGTAAAAGAGACCATCTTCTGGGGCACCTGGTGCAGAATTTAGAGAAGCATAGGTATCTTCAGTCTTTAATACTGATATTGGATCTGCAGTGGGGTCAATTGCTGTATACAATGATTGATGAATTTGATCAGTTTCTGTACTGGTTTGAGATTTAATTTTAATTGTTTTAATTTTTGGTGTTGATTTTATTTGAATAAGTGGTTGCGGCACTTGAGAATTCGTTAAAGTGGCAGTTGCTTTAGGAGTGGTTGAAGTTGCAGTATTTGCAGCGATCTCAATAATAGGATCAGCGCTGTTGCTGCTGTATTCCTCTATTATATGAGCATCTTCAGTAGTATCTTCCATCTCAACCAACTTTTCTGAATCAGAGTTGGATGCATTTTCGAGCTTATTATTTTGAGTTAGCGTAAATGTTCCGGAATTTTCAGTTAATATATATTCATTTGCAGTGCTGGCGACCGGCATGTGCTCGATGGAGTACGTAATTTTACTGTGTTGAGCATCGTTATAGACATCCAAAAATTCCAACTCTCTTTCATGTTGGATAACATTTTGCGTCTAAAAAAATAATTATTATGAGTTGAGTATTTTACAGTTTATATACTAATATAACAACCTAATTGTAACTTCAAAGCTAACAAAAGTTCCAGGGTTTTTTTGGATATACCGCACTATAAAGAACTTACCTCGATTTTCTCTACGGCTATATTTTCTTGTTGCTCGATTAGTTCTTCTTGTGCAATCTCTATGTTAGTTATTGTTTTTACTGGAATTGTTGCCGGAACTGCTGCAGACAATGTTGCATTGTTACATTCAAAGCTTATGGCACTTTTTATGCCCAAAGTATTAATAGCTTCCAAGAATTCTGATAGATTGGTTGAGGTTAGGCTCGTTTCGCCAACGTAAATAAAAGCCAACACACTCTCCAAAAGTGATCCTTTAATGTCTGGCACAACTATTGTGGCCTCCTGCCCCATTGGTATATCCACCAGGAGATTGCGAAGTAAGTCTGAACATGATGAGAGAACGAACCGATGCGCACGCACCGAGTGACCTTTAGCCACTAATGTCACTTCACAGCTTTGTGGATCATTACGCAGATTTCTTTGTATATCAAAAATCGTTGCCGAATGGCCCATCCACTTCAAATGATTCATTTTAGTTGGGATAGCCGAATTTGTTTGTTGTGTTTTAATTTCAGTATAATCTAGATTTAGGAACGTCAAGTATCTCTGAAAATTCTATGGTTCGAAAAAAATTCACAAATTCCATACGCTACGGTCCGAAAATGAAATGGGGAACCATTTCGGAATTAAGGCAGGGTTGCATTGCGAATTCTTTGGGGCTGGAACGAGATTCAGCATCTGACATGTAGCTCTGTTCCATTTTGCAAAGAACGTAAATCTATAAGAGGAGACAACACGTTATAATTGTAGCGAGTGTGAACATCAGGAGCGTGCCTTCTCTTTTCATCCAATCAGAAAACGTATTTAGGCAAAAGAGAAAGCATGCTCCTGATGTTTCCATTCGTTACAATTATAACGTGTTGTCTCTTATAGATTTACGTTCTTTGGTAAATGTAATATTAGACAAAGAACGTAAATCTATATACATTTACGTTCTTTGTATAACACCCGATTTACATGATTCAAGTACTTGAAAGCAATTCTTGCTCATTCTCTTTTGTGTTTCCTATTTGCTTTTACACGTTTCAATTCTGTTGAATTCAAGTTTTTGGTTCTTTAAATGTGAAGCAACGAAAATGCCAAAAGCACACATGGGTACTCGTCCCTGTTATTCTAACCCCTTCTCTTCCACAAGCGGGCAGAATTGAATTCAATACTTGAACTGTGTAAAAGCAGTCAAGATCAAAAAATTTTGAGATCTTTTTGCGGCCAAAGATTTTCAATTATGATTTTTAATATTTAAGTAAAGCTTCACATCGGTACTGAATCAATGAATAAAGATTTTATAAACCTTTATTTTTAATCGAGTTAATAAATTTAATAAGGTTTATTAAACTTTAAAATGCAACATTGCCATATATGTATGTGACATCAATTTGACAACTGTCTGTTATATAAACAGCTGTAAAAAAACTAGATTGGTGCAATTTTAAAGAAATTTTACCTTGCGATTACGGCAAAATGGCAGCGATAATAAGACGTCTAGGTTGCAGGACAATTGCCAATTTCGCTGCAAACCGTGGTAAGTAACTCCATTCCAAATGAAAAGCTCGTTATGTATACAAATCATTATTATCAGTTGCTGCACCTGTAACAGCCAATGTAATCCGCTTCTCAAGCACCACTCCTGCACCAACAGCGGAGGAAAAACGTGAGTAGATTTGGCACAATGTTGACAATACGGATTTTTTTTTTAAATTATGTTGTAGCAACCTTCCGTAAGCCTGATGAAGCCGTGAGACTTAATTTAAGCAACTTTGGACGCTATGTTGCTGAATGCCTTCCCAAATATGTACAAAAAGTGCAATTGACTGCTGGTGATGAACTTGAAATTTTGATTGCACCTGAGGGCGTAGTTCCTGTACTACAGTTTCTTAAAGACAACCATTTGGCTCAATTTAGTAATTTGGTTGATATTGCCGGTATGGATGTTCCAAGCAGGCAGTTCCGTTTCGAAGTAATATACAATCTCTTGTCTTTACGCTATAATTCGCGAGTACGAGTCAAAACCTACACCGATGAGCTGACACCATTGGATTCATGCAATGAAGTGTTTAAGGCAGCCAATTGGTATGAACGAGAGATTTGGGACATGTATGGTGTGTTCTTCGCAAATCACCCTGACTTGCGACGCATTTTAACTGATTATGGCTTTGAAGGACATCCGCAACGTCGCGACTTTCCTTTGTCCGGCTATGTTGAGGTACTATAATTTGATTTTATTAATTTACAAATCCTATTATTCTAACTGTAATAACTTTGTAATATTTAGCTACGTTATGACGATGAGAAAAAACGCGTTGTATGCGAACCACTAGAATTGGCACAGGAGTTCCGCAAGTTTGATTTATCAGCACCTTGGGAACAGTTTCCTAACTTCCGTAATGCCAATCCACCGGCAGAGGCCGTCGAAACCAAACAGGAAGCAATCAAGAAATAAATCATTAGATAATAGCTAAAGTGGTGTTTATGAGTTGTTACGAACTACACAAATAATAGAATCAAATATGAAGATGTTATTGAAATGAAAACGATGCTTTAACAATGTAGAATTTGTATTATTTAATGGGTATGTGTACAAAAAGCGCTGCAATGTAAAAATTCAATCGTAATAAAATTTCGAATCGAATTAGGTAACGAATGAAGTCTTATTCTGGCGTTAAAACAATATTAATGTTAAAAATTATAGTCGCGTTATTTTTTAGATCATATTAAAGAAATTGAACAGGCGGGGGAATAATATAACGCAATAACCGCCATTTTACCAACTTATTTTTATATTCATACTTAATCGAAGTGATACTTGGAAAAGAGAATCGTTTTCCAATCTTTGTCGAATTTTTAATCAAGCCCAGTGTAAGTTGACCATATAGTTTTCTTTATTTATTCTGAACTAACATTTAAAAAAAAAAAAGTTTCAAACATTATACAAGATTTCATTGTATGAAAAAAATGCGTAAACCGTCAACAACAAAAATCTCAAAACCCCACGCGAGCTCAGGAGTTTGAAACTTGAACAATATTATACTAAAATTGCATAAGCTATAAAACTTCATACAATAATTTGTTTCTAGAAAATCTGATTAAACTGTTCGAACTGACCTTTTTTTTTGAAATTTGGCGAATATTTATAAATCTTGTACAAGGTTTGAAGCTTTGATTTGCATTACAAATAAATATCGAAACTTAAAAAGAAATGTGTCCCTAATTATTTATCCAACCACTCTATGCACTGTACTATGTTACCTTAATATGGAAAGGCCCTATCTCACATCGTCGATGAAATGCAAAAAAGCCGTAACTAACTAAAATTGTTTATTGCGTACAACGATGTGGGGACTTATAATTCTGATATGCATTCAATCAAAAAGTGAATTTTGAATTTTTATTTAGTAACGGCTTTTTGTATTTCAGCGACCTTATGAGATAGGACATTTCTATATTAAGGTAACGATACATATGTATGCACATTAGGGTGGTTCCTAAATGTAGGAAGCTAATTTTTACATCAGATTTCCTAAGCCTCAACACCTACATACATACGTCGATGCTACTATAGTCGAAGATATCACATATAAATTTTGGTCCCGATTGGAGATGCTTAAGGCGTGTCGCACAGGGGGCAAAGTTCAGATTTCTCTATGGCGACTCAAAAAGGTAAAATTATTATTTATTTCATCTAATACCCAAAATCGGTACTACCATAGTCGAAGATATCAAATATAAATTTTGGGTCCGATTGAGGTCGGTTAAGGCGTGGCGCCGGTGGGGTCAAGTTCAGATTACCCTATGGAGACGTCTTAACTGACACCAATCGGGACCAAAATTTATATGTGATATCTTCTACTTTAGTAGTATCGATTTTGGCTATTCGTTGTGAATTTCTAGCAACGTGTTATCATTTGGGCAGTTGCAACAGTGATACAAATTCTCATCAGTGCGGCAGTAATGCCGCTTTTATTACGTGCCTCGAACAGTCCCGTAGTTGCCTTTCGCATCGCATTGCGCATCACAGAGGAGCCCCCCAGTTTTCTAAAAATGTATCTTAGCATAAATTTGCTTGTGTATTTTTATTAGTTAGACTGGAATAAAAACAACGATTGCAATATTATCCTCCGTTCGGAAATGCATCAACATACAGCAACCGTCTCTTACTTCTAACCTATAATTGATGAAAATGTCCAATGTGCGCAACCACCTTCAAATGCCGAATTGAAGCTTAGTTGCCAAAAATGGGCATTTATATTACCCATAGTTTAGAAGTAAGAGAGGTTGATGCATTTCAATGATGCAGAATAACTCGTAATAACATAATTAACACGCATTATTGTAAAATGTATGTCAAATTTAGTGCAGTTTGATGAGATGAGATGAGAATATGCATATTCATTTTCTGAATTGTGATAGTCCATTGAAAACGCATGCCCACAACAAATAGCGTCTTTGCTGAGATGTGGGTTTATTAAAAAGATTCTAGTGATTAAAATTGAGTTGTCTTTTCTACTGTCAGCAACCCTACGTGCCATATCATATGATAACAGGTTCTAAAAATGCTAAAAACACACACAGATACCCAGTAAATGCATGTATGTATATGTAAACCGGCAAACCTCTTCCGCCGTTGAGCTACTCTCTCTTCAATGAAAAACCAAAACAAAGAGCGTTTCTGAGGACTAGGCGAAAGCAGCCCCATTGTGGTTGTTTGTGGCGCCACTCATTTCTAAAAGCATTTCATAGTGCATACAAGCACATCACATGCACACACCCAAATAGTGAATTTTGCAATTATACAATTTCATTGTTATTGGTGGGCAACGAGAATTCGCTTCGATTCACTCTTTCATAGCGTATTTAATTAAATATATTTTTTTATTAGTATTATTATTAGAATGCCGCTTTAGGTAATTCTTCATCAGACGGCCAACGAAGAGCCTGGGTAAATAATAATCTGGGTGTTGCGGAAAAGTGAAAAATGTTGACATCGGCATAGAATGAAATCAGCAAGATAACGAGAAAATATACTAATAACAATTATGACACAATAGATTTTGTGCAAGGTGTTTCCTTTTTGGTTCATACTAAATTTTACTCAAATAACAACGCAGAACTTTGTAAAGATATAAGAAGGAACCTATACATACATAAATGCAAACATTTGCCATATTAGTAAAATTTATTTATTATTAATTTCGAGTAAGTGAAAACAAAAGTGATAATGGAAGCTATTTCCAACTACTTTGCGAAAGGTTTGGCGCTGGTTATAGCCGATTTGCTAAGCCTGATAACAGTATCATCCTGTTTGGTTATTAAGGTGCCACAAATCAATACCATACGGGCAAATAAGTCGTCGCAAGGTAAGTAAAGAAGAAAGGATGCCACTGTTGGAAGTTGTTTAAATAATAAAAAAAAATTACCGAAATACATAAATACATAATGAGTATATATATTTGGTATGTATAGTAAAGCTATTATGCATGCATATAACTATGGTGTCGAATAAAAAAAATTTCAAACTTTGTGCAAAAATTATGAAAAATCTGCAAAGTTTCCGCTAAATTTTCAACTTTTTATTAAGATTTTTTAGATTTAGATAACGCATTTTTTCCATACAAAAAAATAATTGTCGAATTTATTTTGTCTGGGAAAAAATTTGTAATGCAGTCAGAAAAAAATTATTAAAGATCAACGCGATTTTTTAGCAACTTAAGACTTGCACATTATTACCCTAGAATTGAGTGGGTTATTAAACTGCATACTCAAAAAAATCTTAATAAAAAGTTGAAAATTTAGCTGAAACTTTGCAGATTTTTCATAATTTTTGCACAAAGTTTGGATTTATATGGTGTTTGTTATATAATGAGCTAGACTTCTGTGGAAATAATAAACATTAAATAAACGAAAGCAAAATAATCAAAATTTATCAAAATGTGGCTGGCTTAATTACCTGCTCACAAGTGTATATAGTATATATCAATCAACTAAATCCAAAAGGTTGCGTCGGATTTTGTCCCACTACATCACAACTTTTGACAAAAAAAATTATGTAAACTGTGTGCAATTTTACGCATAAATAGAAGATATGTACCATGTAGTTTAATTAAAGCCCTGAACAAAAACCTTAAATTGTTCCACAGTGTTTTATTTTCGAAAATGGGCTAGTCGCACCTTCAATGTCCGATTTATTTAAGGTTCGTACTCTTATCATTTTATTAGTGTATACACCATGAATAATAGTCTATCGCGACGATTTCGTTAGAGATATGAGAATATGGAATATTGTATTAATAATAATTTATTATACGTAAATTACCTACGTACATAGTTTGATATTTTATTTATGAGCTTAATATTTCTTATCATTTCTTACATTCGCCCATTTCAGGAATTAGCGTAATTGGTCTATGCCTAGAACTTTTCAGCTACACTGTGATGATATCATATAACTATAGCAGTAGCTATGAATTTCTCTCGTATATGGAATACCCTATACTGCTCTTGCAAGAATACGTGCTCATTTACTATACGTTCTTTTATCAAGATTTGTTGGGCGCCCGCACGCAACTAGTAGCGGTTTTGTATGCCATCGTGGCAACGCTGATATATTTTAAGCTTTTCCCGCTCATAATACTCACGTTTTTAGTGGTAAGTTTTTATTTTATGTTAGCATTTTTATATACATACATAAACACATATCTAATACTAACAGAGGCAAGAAATAAAAACAGTTAAGTAATGCCTTACAAAATTGTGAGCCATCCAATTTACATCTAGTTAAAAAACTAAAACTAAACTAAATAGCTTTTTTAAGTTTTGTCCTCCCTCCGTTGCCCATAGGCATTATAATGCTATTGTGTTTGTACGGAAAGCGCTATCTCTTTTTCTAAAAAGTTCGCCTCGTCCCTAACCGCGGAAGTGTTATAAGTTCAAAGTTTGATAAATTTGTTTAATGTTCAGTAAAAGTTTAGAAACTTTCAAGTCTTTTTACAGTTTAAAGAAAAAGCCATGGCGATATGTTTAGGAGGGTTATGGCAGTTAGTAGATCAAAAAAATTGCAAAAAATTACTTGATCAATTAGTTATGTGTTACTATATTAACTGACTTTTACAATGCATGTTTTACAGCCATTTTGTACACCAATCGGCGCCACAAGTAAAGTATTACAGTTGATAGAGATTTTACGCTCAAAAGATGCTTCTTCTGTTAGTCGAACAACTTGGGCATTGTCAGCATTCACCAACATGAGTAAGTTATTAAAGATATCCAAATTCTAAATTCTTATCTTTTAATATAATTTTTACTATCTCATTTAGCTCGAATTTACACGGTTTATGTGCAATCAAACGACTCCATGCTGCTTAGCAATTTCTTAATATCTACCTTCCTAAGTTCATCGGTGTTTGTCGCAGCATGCGTTTACAGGAAGAAAGCCAAGTCAGATTAAAAGGAAAAATATAAAAAAAAACGACTGGAAAATGTGTCCTTTTTCCCCGTAATTATAATTACAATGCCAATTTTTAAACTTTTCGATTACAAAATGTTCGGTAACGTTAAGAATAGGCCTGCAAATATCCATAAAGGAAGAAATCCTAAAAATCATATTGAAATTCAGTAAAAATTATTTATTATAGTACGACTTTTACTTTGTTTACCGTTACATACAAAAATTAACTATTGTATAAAATAACGAAGGAAGCAGACACGTGTTTGGTTTTTAATTAATAATTCCTTTAAAGGAATGGGTAAAGCAGAAAAAATGTATTAAAACTTCAGAGATTTATTATTTATGTTTTGTAATAAATTATAATAAATTAATCTGAAAACTTTTTGTTATCGATTGTGGGTTAACGGCTATGGTACACATGCGTACCACACATGGGTGCCTACCGATGGTACAATATACCCCATAAAAAAGATGTATGTATATTTTAATCATCAATGGTTATCACTAACTTAATTAGTTTAATCTAATAGTTGAATATCCTGTTTTTCCGAATTACTTATGTTTTCTTCATGAACACATTTTAATTTAATTTCTTGCATCTCTTAACTCTCCGCATAAAATGCCACAGCTATGGCTAAAGCAACCGCTACTATAATACCACCATAAATGCTTACTAATTTCCAATTAATCTCTCTTTTCGTCTCTTCCACGACGACTTTACGTTCCTTATATTTGCGCTTGGTAAATTTCTTTTCAAATTGTTCAACTTCTGCACGATTTTTAGCTTCTTCCAATTGGCGTAATTTTTCAGCTTCGCGCTTCTTTTGATCTGTTAATTTGGCGCGTGTTTCAATGCACAATTCGTCGCATGGAATCGATGTTTGACCGGCGCGGTGTTTATCGCAAGCTATTTCGGCTTTTAGCCGCTTGCATTCGCAAAATATGCGTACTTTTTTGCGGCATAGTTCTGGATTCGGACATTTTCCTGGATGGCAGACAGTGTGGCAGCGATGCCCACATGGAAGCTGAAGCATAATATTAAAAATTTGTTATCTAAACATATTTAAAAAAAAATTGTATTAAGGTATTCTTACATTTTTAAGGCAGCGATTGCCACAGCTTTTTAAACGTTCTTGTCGTGCAATTATTTCTTCTTCAGTATCATCCTCTGAATAAAACTCGGAACATTTGTGCAGTACTTGTGTTAATCCGCAGTAGCATTTGTTTTTGATAATTTTGTCACACGGATAACATGGTGGCGGATGACATGGCCGCGTACAGGCATGAACGCAGCCCTTGGGACGTGGTACATTACAGCCTTCTTGGCATCGGGCGCATCCCAATTGTTCCTGAAAACCAAAAGTTGAAAAGCGTTGGGTTTCTATAGGAATTCAGTTGTAATTATTTGGAGTGGAAGTATGGATTTGAGTAGGCCGGGCAACCATTAATGGAAGGACCAAACGCAAGTATGGATGCGGGAAACTGGGCTATCGTAAGATACATATGTGGACATATTTTTATCTCGACCCGTATTACAAAAGATTTTAATTTAGGTGTCGTACGAAAGGGTACACCTAAAAAAAACAGGTACTTTTTAAGCAAAAAATATCAATTATCATACAAAAAAATTCGGAGTACCGTTAATTTCTTCATGATCCAATGATCGGATCTAAACCAAAAAAAATGGGATTCTGATAAGAAAATCCACCAAGACTTAACTGTCATCGGTGATATTAGTGCTGCAAAGTCAGAATTAACATCAGTGATGACAGGTAAGCCCCAGATGGGTTCTAACATAACAAAGTAATTTTTGTGAAAATTGCAGATAAAGGGTATTGAATATAAGCACTCGATATGCTTCCTCAGTGTTTTTATATTCTTTCCAGAAATCAACGACAATGCGTTTCTATTTTTTTTAGCTGCGCTTCTAATTTTTTTAGCTATTACAGTATCTGAAGCACAACATTTGCCAGGGCTATAAGAACAATAAAAATCCTACCTTCATATTTTGCAAGTCCGGTACCGAATGGCATACCAGTTCACATTTGTGGTTACCACAGCGCAATTCACGATTGCACATCCGTTGACAAGATGTCGGTTTAGAGTTCCAACAAGGCCAGTCAGCTACTTCATGACCTCCGATGCAAGTAACACTCACTGGTTTTTCACACGATGGGTGAGGTAACGTTTTAAATTCAAACTGAAAATAATAACATTCCTTTCAAAGGCTAATACATATGTGTCTGTGAACTATGGATATTTACCTTTTTATTTAAATCCCAAACATTCGTAGTTCCATTCATTGGATTTTGCTTAACAACTTTTACCGCAGCGTGACATTTGGCTTCGCAAGTATGCTGACATCCCGTTGTAGTATTTGGTTGTCCACATTTTTGATTACAAGGTGGACATTCACTTTTGTGGCAGCGATGTTTATTAGGATGGTGACATTTGGAAGGGATTCTGGTAATTTTAATGTTAATCTGTTGGTGGAATATCCGTATAATAATGAGGCAATGTTTAATTTACCGGCATAATTCCATGCACATAACACGTGCTGTACGTTCACGTCCACATGGCACACGCTTCGATGTTTTTCCACATCTACAATTCACTTGCGACTGCTGCGTACAGGGATAACAGGGTCCTTCATGACAAACCGACTGGCATTTGTGTTTCTGACAAGTGAGTGGTCTACCACAGATTTTATCACATTGCTGGCATGTTCGTCCATCGCAACACTGGTAGGTAGTAGAGTAAATGCGAAATTTAAAATTAAATATATTGTTTTTACAGATTTTAGTAAACTTTTGAGTTGAAATAATATATTTATAAGTATGCATATATAATATATTTTATGTACATATAAAGTTTTAAGTGCAATGATTTTTTCGTGCATCCTTTTATAAACTGTTAAATAAAGTATAGAGAACAATGGGATTTACGATCTGGACTTTAAATTACTACTTTTGGAAAAGAGTTCGGCGTGTAATGTACTTTACCTTTTTATTGCAGGCGTGTTTACCACAATCTCGCATCTGCTTGCATTTAGTTTCACATGTAAAATTTTTCCAACAAGGTAGTTCTTTTTCATGTATACCACATCGACACGTCTTCTTTGTTATGATTAAGCACTGCAAAATAATTATTTATTTGTATATATGTAAATTAAAGAATTAAAATATATTGAACCCTACCAAATTACATTCTCCCCGATGACAACGTTGCGTGCATGCATGCAATCCGCACGACAAAAGCTTTTGGCATGTATCGCCACAGGGATCTATGGTTTCGGTGCAGGGCACAACCTTTTTCTATAAAAATACCATATTAATACAAATTGGCTTAGAACAAAGTATTTTTACGTACAGTTTTTCCACATGGACAAGATCGTGGTAGACTCAGAGGACAATCGCCACAAGGTCCCGAATGGCATACGCGTTTGCATGTGTGAGCCCCACATGAATAGTTAGATCCGCACACCTAGTGAACGACAATTTTATGTAATAGGATTACATATATACAATAAATATATACTACTACATATTATCTAATTATTTTCTCACCTTATTACAGTGCCATTTTAAATCGGAACAACTACGTTTTTTCACCTCGTTTCCACATTCGCATGACTGCAAGCTAGTACTAGTACACGGTGGGCAGTGGTTAGGTTTGTGGCATAACTCCTGGCATTGGTGTTCGCCACAAGAGAGCAATTCCTTACACTAATAAAATACGTATCAAATAGTTAGTCGTTTGTAATTTTGTACCTTCAGTTACTCACCTTTCTTTCGCATTTCCACTCCTTGTCTATACAACGAACCGGTTTTCTTGGTGATTTCCCACAAAGACAACTCGTATTTGCATATTGTGAGCATGGTGGGCATGGACCTGGATGACAAAGCAACATACAAGTGTGACCACATGCCGGTTGGAGTTTTTTGCCGCATATTTCTCCGCATGAATGCGGCAAAAGGAATGAATCGGGTTTCGGATTTGCTTCTTTGCCACAAAAACATTCGTATGTCGATGGCTTTTCTTCGGGAGTGTAATCTTTACGACACTGGGGACAGCTCCAATGCAATGGGCGCTTCCTTTTCGGTGCCACATACTCTCCAAGATTGTTATAGTATCCTTGATCAGTAGTGGACTTTGCTTTCATCTGGGCAACACTATCATTGGCCCATCGACGAATGCAGTTTAAATGAAAAAAACAGTAGCAATGCTTGCAGGTCCATATTGCATCTGCTCGGCGCACGCTACCAATGCAGATTACACAAGTTGCTGAGCCCGAATGTAAAGCATTTTCAAAGAATGTTGCAGTCTTTTGGTGGATCACCGATTTGCCATCAGTTGTAGCAGACTCAAAATTGTAATGTTTATAAAGGGAATCTGAAACAATTTCATAGTAAATTATTATACATAGTTAA